CGGGGCTCCGTGGGAGCCTCGTAAGGGCGTCACTGGGGAGGGCAGCCCCGTGTCCGCACCGTCGTCTCCGCTTCTCTGCCGCTCGCCCGGGCGGCGTCCCTGGCGCCGGCCGCCATGTTGTACATAGCAACAGTTGCTAGGCACGGGCTGGCCGCGCTGCTCCGGTTGTGGTGTGAGGGGAGCCTTCGGTGTCGTTTTTAAGGTAAATTCCTGACGCCGGGGGGTGAAAGTTGTATTGTCAGCGGCCGCGGAGCAGGGCACGGTGCTGCGGATTCGGGGAGCTGCCCGCAGCTGGCCGGAGGAGCGGAGCGCGTTTGGCTGTGGCGGTGCTGTGCTCCCGTGCGACCGAGGTCTCCTTCTTACTGCATTGCCTGAGAGCTGCTCTGGGCACTCGAGGGAACTCCCTGTTCCCAACATCTGTGGAAATACTGGAACGGGGGAAAATGTTGCAGTTTTATGATGAGTGCCTCTCTTCCTTTTTACTCCTGTCTAATTATTTCCTGTATTCGTCTGTCTCTCCGTGCATGTTGTTTCTTTTCCTGTATTGAAACTGTAAATTCTTGGGGCAGAATCCTATATTTCTGTAGTACCTAATTGTGACCAGTTATTATTTAAGTGATACTGCATTGTAAACGTTTTTGTGCAACTACAAATTAATATGTGTAATTATGCTAGACATTAGAACACAATTATTTTAATTGGGTTTATATCCATACATAGCTGTTATCACATACTGGGTAGCTGCCCTTATCGTACTTGTTAAAAATAACTGATCACTTTAAGCACTATATAACATGGGGAAAAAAAAAAGAATTTCTGCTCCATAGAGCTTGGAATCAAAATAGAAAAAGGATGCAGACAAGCAGATCAAAGGTACAGGGAGACAGGAAGTGTCCAATTTGAACACCTCACTTCATCAGTTACAGACTTGCTGGCAAAGATTCAGATTAGTACAGTATTATAATCAGGGGCCCAGAAAATGCAGTTAGTGAGGAAAGACAATTAGATTTATTTTGGCTACAGAGAAAGGTTATCATTCCATTAGATAAACTGAGTTGGTTAACATCTTCCGTCTGAAAAAAAGAGAGCATCCTGCACGATCTTCTTCTTCATACCCACCACACTTGCTTAAAATAGGTAATACCATATTGTGTTTAAAGGAAAATAGAGAATGTAGTAGGCAAAAATTGGCAATTTTTCTTTAAGCAGTCTTTTTGACTTGTTCTGCCTCGTAGAAGCAGTAGAGTTGTACTTATGTTTTGGAAAAAGAATGTACAGTATATATCTCATATATAACCATACTTCTGCCAGTAAACGTCTGTCAAGAACAGTTTGTGTGATCAAGTCTTCAAATTTGAAATTTTTCTTTTGTGGCAGTAGGTCTGCTTGCATAACAGAGTAGTACTTCGGAGCATGAGCAGGGTTATTCCTTAAATTAGCATTGCTTCAAAATACAACTGAGTGCCTACAGAATCACTACATTTTTTTTCTTTTAATATTTAGTTATGGGTGATCAGTCAGTACCATTTTTGCTGGACCAAGGAACCACTAAAACATATCAAATACCTATTGGTCATCTGGACTACAAGTTCATTGAAAAATGCACAGATGTGAAACACCTGGAAAAGATTCTCAGGGTGTTAAGGTAAACATTATATTTTCTTAACTTCATTGCTAGTTATATTCCTGTTCTGTAAAATTCAAAGGAACCTGTACCTAAATACTCTATTTGTCTTGAACCTCTTTGTGACTTTCTAATTGAAAAATTAAAATACAGAGTTAAAGTAATCATGTTAAAAGTGTCCAAATCATAGAATAGTTTGTGTTGGAAGGGACCTTTAGAGGTCACCTAGGCCAACCCCCCTGCCGTGGGCAGGGACATCTTCAACTAGATCAGGTTGCTCAGAGCCCCGTCCAACCTGACCTTGAATGTTTCCAGGGATGGGGCATCCACCACCTCTTTGGGCAACCTGTGCCAGTGTTTCACCACCCTCAGCGTAAAAAATTTCTTCCTTCTATCTAGTCTAAATCTACCCCCCTTTAGTTTAAAGCCATTCCCCCTTGTCCTGTTGCAACAGGCCCTGCTAAAAAGTCTGCCACCATCTTTTTTATAAGCCCCCTTGAAGTACTGATAGGCTGCGATAAGGTCTCTCCGAAGCCTTCTCTTCTCCAGGCTGAACAACCCCAACTCTCTCAGCCTTTCCTCATAGCAGAGGTGTTCCATCCCCCTGATCATTTTTGTGGCCCTCTTCTGGACCCGCTCCAACAGGTCCATGTCTTTCTTATGCTGAGGGTAACGCTAGAAATCCATGATACAAATTATAATGCTAGAAATCCAAGTCCTGTTTTAGCGATCCAAAAGGTCTGAGTAACTCAATGCCAGGTTTTTCTCAAATGCTGTCACTGGATTTTGGTTCTGTCATGAAGCTATCTTGCCTGACTGTGGTAATTTCAGATGCCATGCCTGTTTAATGTTTGCTGAAAATGACAAGAGCATTTTTTTATGAGCACTGTGTTGATAATTTTGAACTGTGTATATGTGTCCATTGGAAAGTGGTTGAAGGTTAACTCACTGGAATTTTCTGATCAAAATGTTATTAGGTGATAGTAGAATTCAGCTGGAACAGGAAAATAGTCCTCTGTAATCACTGTGGTGACTACACAGACACTATACATGCAGATAAATATGGAGGACGCAGTGCAGCTTAGTTCTTCTTTGTAACTTTTATGTCTGCATTTTAAAGGTCCGGTGAAGAGGGATATTATCCTGAACTTACATTGTATTGTGAAAAGCGTATTGAGCATTTAGATCCAGGGAGCAGAGCTCTGAGAAAAGATAAGCCTGCAGCCACAGCTTCTGATTTCACAGCTGAAGAATGGAAAACTATTAGTGGTGAACTGATGGTATGGTATAACTCTAATTTATAATGGTCAGTAATGTAATCACTTTGATGTATATTGATACATCTCTTGTGCATAGGTAGAATGTAATTATTTGATTAAATGAGGAAATGATCCAAGGATTATGTTGGGGTTTTTTATTATTTTACCAAATTAATGTCACTGAATCTTTAACGTCCATTTTAACTCTACAAATTTTCTTTCTGTAGATTACTTTTTATTCAAAAAAGCACAATTGCTTTTCGTCTTAATTGTTTTTTCCCATTAAGAGCAGTGCATTATAAGGATAGTTGTTAGGGTCATTGTAGACTGTGAAGTATATCTGCTCTACTGCTGTAAGGTACAGATACATTATTTATTTATTTTCAGAGCTGGGTGGCAGAAATGAATGAAGATGATAAGAAACCACAGTTCCTGAGAACAGACACCCTGCATGAAAGACAAGATAACTTGCCTCCTATTCGTTGTTCCAGCAGCTGTCTTCCTGCTAATCAGGTATCTCCAGTTTTCTTATGTCTGTTAATTACATGTCTTTCTAAAATCGGGAAATTTTATATGTACAAACTTCTAATCATTGAGCCTTTCTTACTAGATTTATTTTGTTAACTAGAAAATAAAAACCTTTAAGTTCCCTTGCAAGAGACCAATGCCTAAACAAAAGAGCCT